GGGGGGGGGGGGGGGGGGGGGGGGCGAATCGCCGCGAAGCGGGGGCGGTTGGGAGCTCCCTGAAAGCAACGAACCTGTGGTGACGGGCACTCAATCAATGAAGATTTTTTGTGCACAACAACTGATGCTAAAATGTGGAGACAGCTCAGGCAGGTGGCGCTCTTTTGTTTTCTTTTTACATGTTTGAGCGCTCCTACCATACTTGTAGGGCAACATCGACACAATAGGGAACTACAACGCCAAAGGCTTGCGATTGTATGCAGACAATCGTATCTGTGTGCGGGGCGCTTCCTGAAGTAAAGCAAGCATATTCGTGATTATCACGAAAAATGCGCCCCCATTGGGTAGGTGCGGAATGGCCCGCCCGTTATTGTCACAACGCCGACCGCCTTTGAGCTTCTAATAATCAATCCCAAAGCTATCTAGGGTGTGGCTTGTGCTGTGCGAGCACATCATCCGCAAAACGACAGAAGAAAACACGGCAACATTTCTGTTATGAATGTACATCATGAGGGCCTGGATTCTAGTTTGAACACCGGGGTGTCAAAAGTTCATATTACAGCAGTCCCACGTCACCCCACCAAAGAGTCATGCGGTCCACGGAACTCTACTTTCCAACGCATACATATATACGTGATCAACTGCGGAGGGAAACACGAACCAGGAGGAGCGCGCACGCTGCGACAGCATCGCTCAATTTCGATCGATTCAACTGACCATTTCGAAGGGCGCGCCGTGCGCCGCACGAACGTTGCCCCGCTAAACTGCCGCAGCTCCTGCATATGCGTAGCTCCTCGTAAAAATACAAAACTGTACAAGAATGCTGTAGAATACACATTTCTTATAGATGCAAGACTGCCCACGTGTGCACCTGACTCTATCAGTCTACCTGCCACCGAGTACGGACAGCAGTACAACAACACAGCGCCCCCCCCACCCCACCCGCCTAGTAACCCCCTCCTCCAGTTCGTTTCTCAGTGCCCGACCCCCCTCCCCTCGCTACGGTGGCACTGTCAAGATACTCTCCGTTATTCAGACGGGGGTGTGTCCCGCCTGATAATGCATGTGCTAGGGTTGACTCAATTGTCAAACGTCATCCGGAGTGAACTCAACGACTATGTGGTGTCATGCCCTTGCGATATCAAGGGAATAATCACACTAAAATACACAGGTAACATGAGTCCGCTCCTGGTAGGCTTGGTCACATTAACACGGAAAAGTGAAGGACGTTGATTTGGCCACTCAGAAACGGCGGGCACCTTTACACTCGATCGGCGTTAACGGTACCGCCTCACGCCCACCACGCGGGACAGCAAAGAAACATAGGCTATGTCTCGCCTGGAGCCACAAACCCTCCGAAAACACCCCCCAGACATGCACCGTACTCGCAGAGAGGTGCCGCACCAACAACAAAACTGCTGCTTTAACAGGCTGCCTTCGCTCTCTTCGCCACACGTCGTACTCGAAGAAAAAGCGCAGCCAAATCACCTCCTGGCAGACTTCTCCTTGCCCCCGCACAAAAAGCATACCAATCCGCCCGTTCCCCTGCCCCGGCTGCTCCCGGACCGCTTCCCTTTGGACCCCCGGTCGCGGGCAACACTCAAGCAGTACTCGTGGAACATGTGCCCACAAGGAAACACGACCGTCCCCCCGCCTCTCCCTGCGCCCAACCCGCCGCCGCGGCCGCCGCGGCCGCCGCCGCCGCCGCCGCCGACCCTAGTGCGAGCGGGCTCGCGTGCCCGCCCTCTCCCCCACCCCCTCCCGGCCGCCACCGGTCGATTTCTGTCAGCGAGGACCCCGCCGCCGCCGCCGCCGCCCGCGTCGCCGCCCAGCTCGCGCGGGGGTCCCGCGAGAGGCATCAAGCACATGCCGTAGCAGCAGCGGGCGTCGGCGTCGACGCGAGTCGCCCGCCTTTGCCCCTGGTTCAGGCGGCGTAGTCGTCGGAGGAGATCGGTCTTGACGGACGCGCAGCAGGACTCGTTCACGCTCACCTGGGGTTGCGTTAATTTTCGTCGTGACACGCCCGCGGGGGG